TATATATATATATATAAATAATTAGCTTACAATTAAGGAGACAAATTGCACCTGGTCACTTGTGAGCCATCTGCCCCTTGCTAAGCTGGTGCTGCCGGGTGCAGGCCATAGGGTTGTTTCAAGGTCGGCAGACAGCTTTATCCTTTAACCAGAAGAACACCAACAACTGCACTGACCACAAACACACACGTGGCTCTCCTTGTCAGCTTATGATCTGCAGAAAAGAAAGATCTCCTCGCTCTTGTCACCAAAGCCATTTCCTGAAAAACCAACTAAACCATTTCCATCTGCTTTACCCTAAGGCTGTTGGGCAGCAATTTTAGGCATTCCCTGTGTCTGAACGGCGGAGGGGCTGTTCCGAGGCTGGCAAACCTTCCCACGGCTCGGCTCCGGGTTACTGCGCAGTGTCCACATCTGAGCGCTGACAGAGGGCGACGTGCCTGCAGGAAAAGCGGCCAGGCACACCGGACGGACGCCCACTGTTGGACTCTCCCTAGAGTTCTGCGTGTAACCCTCACACCTGCGTCTCCTGAAGTTTCTGTGCACCTCTGTGTGGGGTCACGTGGCAGCACAACGCTGTCACCCATGGCTGAAAACCGGAGTTTCTAATGATTTCCCAAAGCTGTGCCGCCCTAGATTGTAAGCAAAGCAAAACAAAACAAAACAAACACCGAAAACTGGGCCGGCATGGCGTTAGAAACAGCAACAGCCTTCCAACGCTTTCGCTTCTCTGGGGGACTTACCTTGCTGGATTTTTGTCACTAGCTGGTGGCGGGCTAGGATCCGGCTCACCCGGTACGGGGAACGTCTAGCCATCGGATCGAATCTCAGGAACATCTCCTGGTCCTCAGAAGGCATGGCATTGAGACTGTAGCAGCCTGAAGCTGGGGCTCTGGGCACCTGGCTAAACATCCCAGGTGACCGTCCGAGGAGCCGCCTGGCGCTTCCCTGTCTCCAGGCTCAAAGAGCAGAGCTCGCCCGCCCGGCAGAGCTCGGCAGACCGGCGATTTAAAGGAAGGGAGAGAGAGAGAGGAATGCCTGAGCCGCAACTCGGAATTCCAGCCCCCAGGCCCTCATGTGACCTCAGGGACCAATGGGAGGCAGAGAGCTGAGTGGGACTGTGCCCGGCTGAGCAGCTAGGAACCTCTGCAGAAGTCTGGGACAGGCCTGGGCGCTGAGAAAACCAAGGGGCGATCAGACCTGTGGGGGGAGGCGCCCCCACCTCCCCACAAAAACCTCCGCTGCCATGGACTTCATTCCGACTCACAGAGACCCCACGGGACAAAGTAGAACTGCTTCCGAGATTGACCCCTTTACGGGAGCAGATGGCCACGTCTTTCTCCAGAAGCCCCGCGGGTGGGTTCAAACTCTCTGACCTGTACACAGTTCAGAGAGTTGGCTGGCTTTCTGCCAGGCAGCTGAGGCCGCGTTGAGAGGACACAGAGGACAGCAAGGTCATAACTACTTCACATAAAACTACTTCACATAAAACCCGAGCAGCCCAACGTCCACTGCGGGCCCCACATGAAAAACAAAGCAGGCTGGCTAAGTACCCTCTGGAGTGGGCCTCAGAGTTGGGCAGTGGAGGGTTCTTAGAGATAAGACCCAGCTCTGCAAAGTGACCACATGTGCTTTCATTTGCGCACACTCCCCTTCACACTGTCCACTTCCCCAGTTTGATTCAGTTTAAAAAAAAAAAAAAAATTTTTTTTTTTTTTTAAACTGAAACCACAGTTTTACATCTTTCCTCCCATTTTTTTCTTCCTGGGCATACACAAGGGGGCTTCCAAAAGTGTGTGGAAAAATTCCATTATCTTCAAATACCATTTTTCCATGCACTTTTGAAAGCCCCCCTGTACCCTAAGGCTAGTGTCAGGCAGGATCTGGGAAGACAAGGATAAAGCAAGTATTTTCCACTAAAAGGAGCCATGGTGGTGGGGTCGGTTCTGACCTATAGCGACCCTGCATAGGGTTTCCAAGGCTATAAGTCTCTTTGGGAGCAGAAAGCCTCACCTTTCTCCCACAGAACGGCTGGTTGTTTCGAACTGCTGACTTTGAGGTTAGCAGCCCAACTCATAACCACTACGCTACCAGAGCTCCTTAAAGGTAAAGTGTTACCACTGCACCCTGTCATAGGTGGGAACTTGTGAGACCCGAGAAACAAGGTGGTCCCTCAGCGCTCCAGCCCTCTCAGGTGGCACTGTGCTAGGAGGCACACACTCAAATACACAGGAGTATTATCAGCCACTCCTAGGAAACCCTAAAGGGTCGCTATGGGTCAGAACCGACTCAATGGCACTTAACAACAACAACATTATCCAGTTTGGTCAGAGAACAAGAGGAAGACCCCCAGCGAGATGGATTGGCACAGTGGCAGCAGCAATGGGCTCAAGTATAGCAATGCTCGTGAGAATCGCCCAGCACCGGGCGCTGTTTCGTTCTGTTGGAACCGACTCGATGGCACCTAACAATAACAACATTATTCAGTTCAACATCACACCGTACATACAATTATGTACCTACTCGTGTTTGACACTTACTGATTATAAATGGGGTTTGTCTTTTTGCCAGTAAAACTTCTCAAGCCAAGGTTGTGGGTTGGTGTCTGAGAAACAGGTTTGCTGGACCTTCACAGTGTCCACCTCAGAGACAGTTAGCCATAGTCCTCACTGCTCCCTTTTGCTCCCCACCTGAGAGTTTGAATTCACCCGGAAGCATAGCTGGTGAAAGACTCAGTGACCCACTCCCAGAAAGACAATGAAGACCACCCTATGGAGCAATTCTTCTCTGGCACACGGGGCCCTAGAGTTGGGATCCAGTCTATGGTCCCGGCAATAACAATAACACATTTATGATTTCACTTGGTGGTCTGCTCCTGGGAAGATGGTATTCAAGAATACCCCTCGGGGCCATTCTAGTCTATGGGGTTTACTGCAGCGCACACGAGGACAGCCAAGACCAGAGAGGAACGTCCGCTTCTACCTGATTGGGAAGCTCATGTCAGCCCCTGATGGCCCAACACTGGGGACAGCCCTACTGTACACGTGTGTTCGAGCCAGACACCTGCCAGGTATCACCTCAGTGCGAGGCTAGTGAAGAGAGAGAGAGAGAGATGAGAACACAGGAACATAGAATGTGGGACAGACCCTGGTAGCACAGTGGTAAAGTGCGTAGCTGTGACTGTAAATTTGGTGGTTCAAACCCACCAGCTGTTCTGGGAAAAAGCTGTAGCAGTCTGTTTCCTTGGAAACCCTCTGAGAATCGACTATAATTTTAGAAGCTATACTCTGGGGAATCTAGGGGGAAAAGGCGGGAAAGAACTCTTAGTGGCTTGATAGCTTGTGAAAAACACTTGAAGAAAGATGACCCATTTCTGAAACCAAACTTGCAGTTCTGTGTCGAGCTTATGAAAAGACGAGCTTATTAAACAATGAATACAATGACTTTCTGGAGCCCAAGTCTGGATGAACCACTGAAAATATATTCATGACATCATCTTTAAACCCTAAACCGAGTACTCTGTGAAGTTTTCTACAAACCAAGGAATAGCTTAACTCCACTAATAAAGACAAGGAGCTCCGGTAGCGTAGTGGTTACGAGTCGGGCTGCGAACCTCAAGGTCAGCGGTTCGAAACTACCAGCTGTTCCGCAGGAGAAAGATGAGGCTTTCTGCTCCCGTAAAGATTTCCAGCCTTGGAAACCTCTATGCAGGGTCACCATGAGAAGGAAGTGACTCCACAGCACATCACCACCACCGCTAGCTGTGCTCCTGTAAGGACTATTTGAATGGGGGAAACTTGACAACAGCACCTGGGAAGGTTTGATAAGAGCCTGTGGGGACAGAAATTATGTTCACGGAGTAGAAGCAACTCAGAAAAGGAGCTGTCCCACTCAGAGCGAGTCATCAGTGCCCCCGAGTGTACTCGTACCGATTCTCAAAAACAGCAATCAAATCAAATCAATTATCTCTAAAAACTGAAGAAAGCAGAATAAAAGGATTCTTTCTGAGAAGCACTATAGTTGTATCTATCATGGCCAGCTTTCAATGCCTTCTTTCAGTTTCATAATTAATAATGACTAGATCTGTGTTGGAAGAAACGCAGCCAGAGTGCTCCTTGGAGTCCTGGATGGCCAAACTTCGTCTCTCATACTTGGGGCATATTGTCAGGAGGGACCAGTCACTGGAGAAGGATATCATGTTTGGTAAGGTGGAGGGTCAGAGAAAAAGAGGAAGACCCCCGCAACAAGATAGATTGGCAGCATCAATGGGCTCAAGCGCGGCAGCAATTGCGAGGTTGGTTGGCCCAGGACGGGACAGTGTTTCGTTCTGTTGTGCATAGGGCCGCTATGAGTCGGTACCAACTCAATGGCACCTAACAACAACATTAATGCTGAAATATGTGTTGAAAGTCTTTTGTTCAGAAAACATCAGGATCGTGGATGAGCTTTCATTGGGTGAACGTAAGCAGCAGTACCAACAAGGCCCTATTTCATGGAGGCTGGAAATGACCAAGAACCAAGATTAAGGAAGACGAACGAGAAATTTTGTTTCTGGATTCAAAGAAAGACCGTGTAGAGTGAAGCCTGAGAATGCTAATGCGGACTGTTTTAGTAAGCAGATCCCACGAAGTGTATGCGCCGGCACTTCTGTCTGCACAGTGTGATGTTCCAGGAAGCGCCAGTTCATGTCCAGTTGGCTCATGGTGACACGCTGCCCAGGCGTGTGCCATGCACTGTCCCTGGATCACTGCAGTTCCTAGGTTTTCTTTCTAGTCGTAGCCTGGAAGCTCCCCTGAACCGAGACCAGTATACTGACAACACTCAATAGACGTGAGGTGGTCGCCCAGGAGGGGAACTGGCTGCGATTCCCATCAAAGTCCAGCAGGGAAGGCCAGAATGCTACCACTGAGCCCACAACACCCCCTAGGCTTCCGTCAAGTCCTGTAGCTGCTCACAGTGGAGCTATAAAAGTTCCCAATTGTGGTCACAAGGTCGATGGTTCAAACCCACCAACCACTCCTCGGAAACAGGGTCACTGTGAGTCAGAGCTGACTAAACCACACTTATTAACAACAACATACTAGTATTTGGAGTCCTAGGGTGGCACTGTAGGATAAGCACTGGATTGCTAACCACAAGACCTGTGGTTCAGCCCAACCAACCTCCCCTTGGGAACCCTACATAGAGTTGCTGTGAGTCGGAACAGACTCAGTGGCACTAAGATGACAACAGCAACACAGTATTTCAGGAGCCCTGATGGCTCTGTACGACGAGCCCTAAACATTCAGCCTCAAGGCTCCTCAAGGCTCCCACCAACCACTCCTCAGAAGAAGGTGAGACTGTCTGCTCCCATAAAGTCTTCTAAAATGTCTATAGGGCCGCTCAGTGTCCGAGGTGTCTCGGTGGCAGTGGGATTTGGACACACTCAGCAATATGGCATTCATCGCTTGTCAGCTGCACATTCACTATGGACCCAGAGACTCTCCATAAATCATTCCTCCTCGACTCCCGGCCAGGGTGGGTCTTCCTGGGACCCTGTGGATCTTACAGATTTTATGAGAAGACGTTTTTTTCTTTTCCCAGACCAGAGAGGGCCCAAGGATCCAGAGAGACAATGTTGACAACTTAGTGGATTTTCCAAGACCTCCTTCCTTTACACACGAGGAAAATAAGCTTAAAGGGAAGTGAGTGCAAGAAGACAGTGGTGGGCAATTGGAGAAGGACACAGAAGATGGCCACAGCATTGTAGGATGTAGTACTACCACTGACTTGTACGTATGGAAGTGGTCAGAATGGGGTCTATCCTGTGTGCCTGTGTGCATTTTCAAGTACAACAACAAAATGAAAGAACATTTCCCCTGAGTTTTTAACAGAAAAAATTTGGTTATAGTATCATAGTAGTTTTTCCTGTT